CCCTGGAGCGCTCCCGGAGTGGGGGGGGCGCTGGCCAGGCCGTTCCCGGTGCGCGGCTCAAATGTACTGTGTTTTGAATGGATCTTTTACCTGTTCATGGATCTTAAATCTACATACATGGGTCTTTTGGAAAATACTGGTTCACTGAGTTGTTCACATATTTATATATTTAAAATATTGACGTATTTCATTATCCAAGGTAAATATAATAATGAATATACCACAGTTTTATTAGAACTAATTTAAAAAATATTTTATCGGACTTTATTTATTTTAATTACTTAATTAATTAATTTTAATTTGATCAGAGAGGGACAGAGTGAGTGAGTGAGTGAGTGAGAGAGAGAGTGAGAAAGAGAGAGAAAAAGAAAGCCACCAGGTCCAGGACTTGAACCTCAGTTGCTCATGTGGGGAGTCCAGCACCCTTAACCACCAAGCCACCTGCCAGCCCCTAGAACTACTTTTTAAGTATTAGAAATCCATCATAATCATTAGGGGAAATATAAATTTTGCAAAATTCTAAGTGTTGTTTGAAAGCTTAGCTGTTGTTATTGATAACAAATAATTGTCAGTCTCATTTTATTTATTTGCCATTTTCAAGAATGATTTTTTTTTCTTTCTGTCTCTCCCTTGCCTCCGGGCTCTGGAGAACAGAAGGGGTGCACGCGGGCACCTTGCCTTATTCCCAGCTGGGAATGGGAAGCATTCCATCTTCCATCACGAAGTGTGATGGTAGCTGGCAGTTCCTTACAGATGCCCTTCGTCAGATTTAGGAAGCTTCTATTCCACATTGCTGAGAGTTATGTCAGATGCGTTCTTGGAATCTATAAATGTAATCTTATGGTTTTTCACATTTATTCTCTTGTTATGGTGAATTACTGTTGGTAGATTTTTTTTTTTTTTTTTGGAGAGGTTTTTGCTATAGGGCGCGTGTGCTCGCCAGACAGACACAGAGAGACAGAGAGATAGAAAGTGAGAAATCACCCCCCAGAGGGGATGGCCACACCGCAATCCCTTCTTCTCTGTTCTCCTCTTGGGATCTTGGGCATGCACACACACGCGCCCAGTGTGAGTTTAAGCCACCGGGTCCAGGACTCGAACCGCAGTCAACTATGTGGGAGTCCAGCGACATAGCCATTACACTAACTGCTGGTCCCACTGTTGGTAGATTTTTAATATATTAATCCAGTCTGGCATTCTGGGCCCAATCAATCATTCATAGTCAAAAAATCTGGTTCACTTTTGTGTTCTTTCTTTTTTTTTAAAGAATTAATTTATTTAACTTTATTATTATTATTTTCCAATTTGACCAGAGAGAGAGAGGGAGAGTGAAAGAGAAAGCAAACCACCAGGCCTGTGACTTGAACGGTGGTCAGCTGTGTGGGAGTCCAGCGTCCTTAACCACCACCTGCCAGCCCCACTTTTGTATTCTTAGTGCCCAACCCAGTCCCGTAAGGATGTAGTAGATGCCCAGTAAGTTTTTGTTGAATTTAAGATGGTGATATTCCTTAAGCAGTTTTCCATTTTTAGAAACTTTTGAAAGCATTAAAAATAGTTATTTACTAAACCACACATAATTTTTCAGCAACTTCTATTATTATGAATGTGTTGGGTCATTGGAAAAGTAAGGACACATTTTTGCATAGAAAGGCATAGAAAAATGCATCATGACTTTTCTGACAACTCAAGAGATGGTCATTCAGAAGGAAGTAGAGAACATCTCTCCCTCTTTAATTTTGAAATTCATTTATTCAGTTCTTCTGTGAGAGAGAGGAAGAGAGAAGGAGAGGCAGCCCCGATAGTCTTCATGCCATGGTCCATACCCAGGGGAGAGAGAGAGAGAGAGAGAGAGAGAGAGAGAACCCCGAGAGAGTCTTCATGCCACTAATGCACCCAGCCTGGATCTTGGGCACATGTGCATGCAGTGTGCACGGGGAGGCCCTGTGACGTGAACCTGGGACCCTCTCATGTGGGTCAAGGCACAGAATGTCGCTGTCACTGCTGCACATGGCCCGGCTCTAGAGAAACCCTCTGACAGTGCTTTCGTGAGGAACTTCCAACCTGCTTATTTTACATTCTGTGTATCGTTCCAACAAGCTGTGATGGTCTGATTTCCTTGCCCCATACAGATCCAAAACAACAAATTAAAGAATGGAATTGAGCTCTTAGAGGTTGTTCATTGAGAGCATAAAAATGAACAGTGTCAGAGAGGAAACGAAAAACCTTGTAGACAGCGTTGGAAAGGCTTTAGTAACTAACTGAGAGCTGTGGATGTCAGGATCGGAGAGCTGCCGTTAGGTCTCCCTTATAGCTCTGAGGTCCTAGTGTGCATAGCGCGGCAAGGGCAGGGGTTCAGAGTTGGAGTAAGTGCGAGGGAGCCGCTCGTTCTTGATGTAATTTTCTCTCGGCTTTTGTGCAAGTGAGGGGCAGATGTAATATATGTGATAAGGATGTCTGTGGTAGGAGTGGCTCACACCGAGATGCTGAGTTCGCAGTGCAGGGGGACGAGGAACAGACAGTGGGTGTGTTTGCGTGTTCTCAGGGGACGCTGACATGGGTACGTGGGTTTATCAGATGCTCTCTGGGGAGGGACCAGATACGGGGGTTGAACTGGTTTCCTTTCCCCGTCATTGGCCATTTTATTATTGCCTCATGTTCCCAGGCCCAGATGTTCTGTGTCTCCCAGATGTTGTGCTGCATGTGCACATTCGAGAAATACAGGCTTCATCAAAATGACCAATTTTATACCTAAGCAAACTGAGGCTGTCTTCAGAGTTTGAATGACAAGCTGGTGAATGTTAGGGAAGACTGAAAACCCAGTTGGCAGTGTTTTCTGTTTGTTTATTTTCTTTTTAAAATGACTGAATACAAATTACTCAGAAGTAAACTGAGTCATTCATGGTAAATAAGTTCATTTCCTCATGACCAGTAAATAGGTAGATACAATATTAGGATAAACTGATTGTCACTTAGTTCATGGGGAATCTCTTCATTCTAAAAATAAAGTACCAGCGACTTCTGGGAATTCAGACTATAAATTTCGGGTTCATATTGCTGCACAGTGATTCATTACTAATTCAGTGGCTTAAGCAGAGACTTTCTCATCTCACAGTTGGCATGGGTCGGGAGTCCAGGCATGGCTTAGCTGCATCCTCTGTTGGGGGGCTCACCATGCGGAAATCAAGGTGTAAAGCCTGGATTCTGATTGACCTGAGGCTCAGCGCCCTCTCCTAAGCTCCGTGTTTCTTGCCAGAATTCAGTTCTTCCCTGGCTGTGGGACTAAGGCCCTGTGTTCCTAGAATCATGCCACTTAGTGTGTGGCTCTCTCCACACAAGGTGGTTTACATTTTTTTTGCTATAGGGCACGTGCGCTCACCAGAAAGACAGAAATAGAGAGACAGAAAGCGAGAAATCAGCCCCCAGGGGGGATGGCCATGCCACAATCCCTTCTCCTCCATTCTCCTCTCAGGATCTTGGGCATGTACGCACACATGCCTGGCGTGAGTTTAAGCCACCAGGTCCAGGACTCGAACCGCGATCGACTACGTGGGAGTCCAGCGACATAGCCATTACACCAACTGCTGGTCCCCATGGTGGTTTATTTTTTAAAGGCCAACCAGAGATCCTCTCTGCTGTTCCCATTAACTCTGACTTCTGTACCTTCTTTATAGATAGACTCACCTGATTAGGTCAGGCCCACCAGGATACTCTCTTTTGATTATCATAAGTCAACTGGTAGGCCCTTAATTACATCACCTCTGTCACATAGAGTACTCCCCTCCTATCTGCAGTCTCACTTTCACTCATGGTCAATTGTGATCTGAAAACATTAAATAGAAAGTTTCAGAAATAAACAGTAAACCTAAAATTGCCTGTTATTCTGAGTAGCACAATGCGCTCTTGTGCCATCTTGCTCTGTCTCACTTGGGATGTGGATTGTTTCTTTGTCCAGCATTTTCATGTAGTATGCACCTGCCCGTTACTCACTTAGTGGCCATCTCAGTTATCAGATAAGAAACATAGTATATGAATGGTTCGGCACTGTCCACAGTCTCTGGCATCCAGAACTCGGAACACATGGAGGGTAGGTAACTGGTTGAGGGGTGGGAGGCTGCTGCGACTTTACGATTTACGTAGCCACAGACGTGAAGTCCCAGGCACTTTGCCCACATTCCAGGATGGGGCTCTGCAGGGCGTGAGCACCAGAGGATGTGAAGCTGGGGGTTTGGCCCTAGCCGTTTGCCTACTACAGGATTGGTAAAGATAAACGTGGCTCCCTTGTGCAATCAAAATGGAATCTGTCTCACATGCTAAGCAGTTTTCTGGCCCACAGAAGTAAAAGATGGAAAAGCCCAGTTCTTGGAAAGCCCTGCTCTTGTCTGTAGTGAGGTGGGAGAGAAAAGCAGCAAAGCCCCCGTGTCCACTGCAGTTTGGTGATGCAGCTGCAGTGAGGTGGGACTAGGCTCCGGTGTGCGTGTCCAGGAGAAGGTGCAAGAGGGACAGGACACGAGGCTTCAGGACAAGTGCCTTGTGTGTCTGGAAGAAGCCAAACTCTTGTGGCTCTTAAAACTGTAAACACTCTAGAACACTCTACATTCTCTAGGCGGGAAAGCTTAGTGTTGGTGATGAAATGATTAATGACGTACTTTCTCTTTTCTCCCAGATGGCATACCTCAAGTTTACTATTTTGGCCCCTGTGGTAAATACAACGCTATGGTGCTGGAGCTGCTGGGGCCGAGCTTGGAGGACTTGTTTGACTTGTGTGACAGGACGTTCTCCCTTAAAACCGTTCTCATGATAGCTATACAGCTGGTGAGTGAAGCAGGGTTCGAAGCTGCTCGAACCGTTGCGTGGTTTGTCGATCACAACTTTGTATCAAAGGATTAAAGTTTTGTATTATCTGAGTCGATCATTGGCCTAATATATTTTCTTATTGCCTTTCCAGGATGTATATGACTTAAAATAACAAAGTCAAGTGTATTTCGTTTTGTTTGAAAATTAATGTCTTAGCTGTTTTAAGATGAGAATGTTCCGTTTGAGAATTCAATTGTTTCTAGAACCCTCTTTTCACATAGAAGAAGAGGAATACATTGAAAGAGAATTCACAGAAACGTTGATTCTCAGTCTTGGAAGACTTTCAAGCCTAGGAAAAAGAAGAAACCAACTAATGAATCTTAATAAATCATTTAAAATTCAAAGAAGATATGAGAAAACAATGTAGAAGATGATTTTCAGAGTTTTGAAATAAATGCCAATAGAAGTATGCTGTAGAACTCTTAAAATTAATTTTTTCCATTTGACTTGTTAATTCCATTTCTCCAAATGGATCCTCTGGAAGTATTTAGGTATACTTAAAACTTGGTGTGCAATGATGTTTATAATAAAAAGAGAACAGGGCCTGAAGGTGGCGTGGTAGTTAAAGATGCTTCATCCCACAGGGGTTATGGCATAGATCGAGTCCCGAGCTTGGTGACTTCAAAATCACACCTGTTGCGTGTGGATGTGTATCCCAAATCCTGAGAGAATAATAAAGGAGAAGGGATTTTGGTATTGCCATCCCCCCTGGGAGTGATTTTTTACTTTTCCTCTCTGTTTCTCTCCAGAGAGTGCCCACACTCTATGGCAAAAATCTAAAATGATTAAAAGATAAACAACTACCATATACAGATATAACAGGGTTACTTGAATAAGTCACTTATAGCTGTAAAATAATATGCAGCTACTAAAACATGTATATTAAAAGAATGTTTCATGACCTGGGAAATTCTTATAATATATTGCTAACTAGGTCACAGGGCCAGCCCTGGAGCACAGTGGATGGGTGCTGTACACGGGGAGCCAGATCCCACGTGGCCCACAGTGGTTTGCATTCTTGCTTCTGTGAGCTCGAAAAACACCCAGGGCACGTTCATTTCTGCTCACGATCCTGATGGGATGGTTCTTCCTTTTGCTTTCTTTCTCTCTCTCATGCATGCATGTACCTTCTGGCATAAAAAATACAGGTCATAGATATTTTATATTGGGACCAGCAGATGGAATAATGGTTATGTTGATGGACTCCCACATAGTCTACAGTGGTTTGAGTCCTGGACCTGGCAGCTTAAAATGCATACTGGGTGTGTGTACATGCGTGCCCAAAATAGGGATTGCAGCACGGCCATCTCCCTGGGGGGTGATTTCTCATTTTCTATCTCTCTGTCTTTCTGGAGAGCACCCATGCCCTATAGCAAAAATCTCTCTCTCAAAAAAAACTCTCTAAAAAAAAGGAAGAAAAGAATATTACACGGTCTGAAGTTTATTAAATTTTTTAAAGGCCAACCAGAGATCCTCTCTGCTGTTCCCATTAACTCTGACTTCTGTACCTTCTTTATAGATAGACTCACCTGATTAGGTCAGGCCCACCAGGATACTCTCTTTTGATTATCATAAGTCAACTGGTAGGCCCTTAATTACATCACCTCTGTCACATAGAGTACTCCCCTCCTATCTGCAGTCTCACTTTCACTCATGGTCAATTGTGATCTGAAAACATTAAATAGAAAGTTTCAGAAATAAACAGTAAACCTAAAATTGCCTGTTATTCTGAGTAGCACAATGCGCTCTTGTGCCATCTTGCTCTGTCTCACTTGGGATGTGGATTGTTTCTTTGTCCAGCATTTTCATGTAGTATGCACCTGCCCGTTACTCACTTAGTGGCCATCTCAGTTATCAGATAAGAAACATAGTATATGAATGGTTCGGCACTGTCCACAGTCTCTGGCATCCAGAACTCGGAACACATGGAGGGTAGGTAACTGGTTGAGGGGTGGGAGGCTGCTGCGACTTTACGATTTACGTAGCCACAGACGTGAAGTCCCAGGCACTTTGCCCACATTCCAGGATGGGGCTCTGCAGGGCGTGAGCACCAGAGGATGTGAAGCTGGGGGTTTGGCCCTAGCCGTTTGCCTACTACAGGATTGGTAAAGATAAACGTGGCTCCCTTGTGCAATCAAAATGGAATCTGTCTCACATGCTAAGCAGTTTTCTGGCCCACAGAAGTAAAAGATGGAAAAGCCCAGTTCTTGGAAAGCCCTGCTCTTGTCTGTAGTGAGGTGGGAGAGAAAAGCAGCAAAGCCCCCGTGTCCACTGCAGTTTGGTGATGCAGCTGCAGTGAGGTGGGACTAGGCTCCGGTGTGCGTGTCCAGGAGAAGGTGCAAGAGGGACAGGACACGAGGCTTCAGGACAAGTGCCTTGTGTGTCTGGAAGAAGCCAAACTCTTGTGGCTCTTAAAACTGTAAACACTCTAGAACACTCTACATTCTCTAGGCGGGAAAGCTTAGTGTTGGTGATGAAATGATTAATGACGTACTTTCTCTTTTCTCCCAGATGGCATACCTCAAGTTTACTATTTTGGCCCCTGTGGTAAATACAACGCTATGGTGCTGGAGCTGCTGGGGCCGAGCTTGGAGGACTTGTTTGACTTGTGTGACAGGACGTTCTCCCTTAAAACCGTTCTCATGATAGCTATACAGCTGGTGAGTGAAGCAGGGTTCGAAGCTGCTCGAACCGTTGCGTGGTTTGTCGATCACAACTTTGTATCAAAGGATTAAAGTTTTGTATTATCTGAGTCGATCATTGGCCTAATATATTTTCTTATTGCCTTTCCAGGATGTATATGACTTAAAATAACAAAGTCAAGTGTATTTCGTTTTGTTTGAAAATTAATGTCTTAGCTGTTTTAAGATGAGAATGTTCCGTTTGAGAATTCAATTGTTTCTAGAACCCTCTTTTCACATAGAAGAAGAGGAATACATTGAAAGAGAATTCACAGAAACGTTGATTCTCAGTCTTGGAAGACTTTCAAGCCTAGGAAAAAGAAGAAACCAACTAATGAATCTTAATAAATCATTTAAAATTCAAAGAAGATATGAGAAAACAATGTAGAAGATGATTTTCAGAGTTTTGAAATAAATGCCAATAGAAGTATGCTGTAGAACTCTTAAAATTAATTTTTTCCATTTGACTTGTTAATTCCATTTCTCCAAATGGATCCTCTGGAAGTATTTAGGTATACTTAAAACTTGGTGTGCAATGATGTTTATAATAAAAAGAGAACAGGGCCTGAAGGTGGCGTGGTAGTTAAAGATGCTTCATCCCACAGGGGTTATGGCATAGATCGAGTCCCGAGCTTGGTGACTTCAAAATCACACCTGTTGCGTGTGGATGTGTATCCCAAATCCTGAGAGAATAATAAAGGAGAAGGGATTTTGGTATTGCCATCCCCCCTGGGAGTGATTTTTTACTTTTCCTCTCTGTTTCTCTCCAGAGAGTGCCCACACTCTATGGCAAAAATCTAAAATGATTAAAAGATAAACAACTACCATATACAGATATAACAGGGTTACTTGAATAAGTCACTTATAGCTGTAAAATAATATGCAGCTACTAAAACATGTATATTAAAAGAATGTTTCATGACCTGGGAAATTCTTATAATATATTGCTAACTAGGTCACAGGGCCAGCCCTGGAGCACAGTGGATGGGTGCTGTACACGGGGAGCCAGATCCCACGTGGCCCACAGTGGTTTGCATTCTTGCTTCTGTGAGCTCGAAAAACACCCAGGGCACGTTCATTTCTGCTCACGATCCTGATGGGATGGTTCTTCCTTTTGCTTTCTTTCTCTCTCTCATGCATGCATGTACCTTCTGGCATAAAAAATACAGGTCATAGATATTTTATATTGGGACCAGCAGATGGAATAATGGTTATGTTGATGGACTCCCACATAGTCTACAGTGGTTTGAGTCCTGGACCTGGCAGCTTAAAATGCATACTGGGTGTGTGTACATGCGTGCCCAAAATAGGGATTGCAGCACGGCCATCTCCCTGGGGGGTGATTTCTCATTTTCTATCTCTCTGTCTTTCTGGAGAGCACCCATGCCCTATAGCAAAAATCTCTCTCTCAAAAAAAACTCTCTAAAAAAAAGGAAGAAAAGAATATTACACGGTCTGAAGTTTATTAAACAAACTAGAATGTCCTATGTGACTGTAGGTTTATATTGCATTGTTAGCCATGATTATGAAAGTAATTGTATTTTCTTATTTATAACATTCTATTTTGTCAGTTTGTACAGTGAACATTATTTGACAATCTGTAAAATAGTTAATAAAAAGGTCTTACATTATTATTTGGGGTTAGATTCTAAAATATCCCAGTTTCCACGCTCTTATTTTTAAGTGTTTAACCTAGGAAAAGTTAAAGATGTTATAAAAAAAGAAAGAATGGTGCTATTGTTTGTCATTAACAGCTTAGACTCTGTGTTTCTTTAGTATAATTGTAAAAGTTATTTGATTATTGAACTGATAAGAAAAAATAAGTTGCAACTTTTGTAAGTATGTTTGTTTATATTTTAGTTCAAGATTTTGTATCAATAGTTTTTGATTTTATGTAGCATTGCCTTCTGAAAGTACTGATTGAAGTAGACTTATTAACATGAAAAAAAATCATAAAATTTAAACACTTTTATTATTAGCAACCATAATAGTAAAGACAAAGGTTTTAAATCATAATTGGAAATATATTTAAGAAACTGTAGACTTGGCATCATGATACTTTTAAAGGATTGAAGTAATTCCTGATTTTTTTCACGTTGTTCTTTGTGAAAGTTCTAACGCACCTTTGCCATGCTTTCTTATACTTGTCAAAGCCTAAAATAAAATTTCTTTTCTTTTTTTTCATACACCAAGATTTCGCGCATGGAATATGTTCATTCAAAGAACTTGATATACAGAGATGTAAAACCCGAGAACTTCTTAATAGGACGGCCAGGAAACAAAACCCAGCAAGTTATTCATATTATAGATTTTGGTTTGGCAAAGGAATATATTGATCCAGAGACAAAGAAACACATACCGTACAGAGAACACAAGAGCCTTACTGGGACAGCTAGATATATGAGCATAAACACACATTTAGGAAAAGGTATGTGCATCTTTTCTAAGTATGGAAGTCTGAACGCAGCAGCTAAGCTAACAGTGTGAGTTTTTATTTGTATTTATGGTTTCATTTTTGCAGAGTACAATAACTTTAATTGTAATTTTCATTTATCACATCTTCCTGGAGTTTATTTTCATTGATATTTTAATAAAACTCTTCTGCAATAAGTTGGAGAGGAAATGAATGACAGCTATCCTAATAGTCACCGTATCTTATTTCTTTATATGATAACTTGAAATGTTCAACGTTGCTACATACAGTTAGGGGGACACAATTGATTATTCCTGTTAAAGAGTATGAGAAAATGTCTATCTATCGCTGAATTTATGGCACATGGAAAATTTTTGATCGACATAATAGCTCTCTGATACGGCTAGCCAAAGATATAGCGACTTGCCTAATAGATACAGTGGTAGGAACACATACCTAAAGGGGCGAGAGTGCTGGCCTCTAATGCAGGCTTCGCTGTATACTACCAGATGACTTTGGGTAAGTTTAACCTTCTCAAGGGGGTTTCTTACTTTTAAAGATGGTGAAGTAATGGCACCAGTGGATGGTGTGGTGGTTACAGTGTTGGACTCGCACCTACTAACTATAGTTCGAGTCTCAGACCTGGTGGCTTGCTTTCTCACTCTCTCTCTCGCTCTTTCTCTGTCTCCCTCTGCTGAATGCACATGTCCTGGACCAAATTAAAAAATAATAATAATGGGAAATTAAATAAATAATTTTTTTTTTTTTTGAGAGGTTTTTGCTATAGGGCACGTGCGCTCGCCAGACAGACAGAGACAGAAAGACAGAAAGCGAGAAATCACCCCCCAGGGGGGATGGTCACGCCACAATCCTTTCTCCTCCATTCTCCTCTCGGGATCTTGGGAACACACTCACATGCCCCCAGCATGAGTTTTAAGCCACCGGGTCTGGGACACGAACCGCGGTTGACTATGTGGGAGTCCAGCGACATAGCCATTATGCTAACTGCTGGTCCCAATCATTCTTTTTTAAAAAAAGAAAGAAGAAAGGGTATAGTAGTATCAAACTCACAAGATTTGTTAAAGTATTTTTTCTCCCTAGTTGAGCATCTTATCTAGCACCACACATTAATTTGTCCTAACTCTAGTCTTTTTCATCTAGACCAGTTCCCTGGCCCTTCTTTAGGCTCATGACCTTCGTGTTTTTGAGGAGCCCAGGCTGTTTTGTCTATTGTCGTCAGTTTGGGTCTGTTAAACTTGGGTGTACATTTTCGGTGTAAATACCATGGACGTGATGAGGCCTCTTGTCAGGAGGCTCATGGCGCCACTTGGTTCCAAGTAGCTTCAGTCACTTAGGAGGGTGCCTCCTGAGTTTCTTCACTGAAAAGTGTCTTTCCCTTTTGCAATTAAAAACATGTTACAAGTAGATTTTTGGGATTATGTAAATACGTGGTTTTTCATCAAACTTCTACGCACTCTGTTTAGCATCCCTGAAGATTCTCTAACTCCATAGTTCCTTTCGTGTTTATTAGTTGATTTTGTAGCATAAGCCAAAGCTCTCTTCTCCCTCATTTACTGCCTTTTTATCTATATGACTCGAATTCTTATTTAATGTACTATGTACTAAATGCACTGCTCTCTGTGTTTTGACATTCTGAGGGTTCCAGGTCTGAACACTGGTTGTTCCTTCAAGCTGTAGCTCTGGCCTTTTGACATGTTCTCATGATTCCTGGAGGACTCCATTACTTTCTGCTGTAACGAGTTATTCTAAACTCATCTTGTAATTTCTCTGATCCAGCCCCATAATCAGACATTTCTCTAAGCAGTCCTGGGTCATTTTACTATATAATGGTGTTTAGTAGTCAAAAGTGGACCACTGGCTACACTCGCTGTTGTGATGTCATTGCTCCAGGCTCCCTCTACAGCAGGCATAGCAAAACGCCTGCATGTGCATGCGCATGCACACAGAGACCGTGTTCCCATTAAAAACCTTGAGTTTGTGTGGATATTTCTAATTTCAGGCTGTCATCGTAAAGTGGTATTCACTCTTCCATATTTGTAACTTCCTCCTCTTTTCTATACTTGTTTCTTCCTTTGCCAACAGTGAGAAATCTGTCTACCATTACTCATAATATATTTACTCATTTTCAGAAGCCTAGGATACGCAGAAAGTATCGATGGTATCAGAATTGCCAACTGATAGCACTTTGCAAAACAAGCTTGCCAGAATTACTATAATTCTTATTTTGAGTTCTTTTAAAAATTAAAGTAAAACTTACATTAAGTAAAACATACTCCAGTGTGTAATTTGTGAATATTGATGAATATCTATTAAGCTATCAAGGTTTAGAACACTGTCTTCCCCTCGTCAACATCCTTCTCAGCTAATCTCTACTGTCTCTGGAAGCTGCCACTGATTTGATTATTATCTGTAGATGAGTTTTGCTCATTCTGTTACTTCATGTAAATGGAGTCATCTCGCTGCTTTTGCTGAGCGTAATTATCTGTGAGGTTCATCTGGGCTGTTGCATGTGTCAGTAGTTTTTAATGCTGAGTAGTATTCTAATGCAGTACAAGTTGTTCATTCTAATATTGATAGGCATTTGGATTGTTGATTTTTTTTTAAGATAATGAATAAATCTTCTGTCATTCATACAAATCATTTCATGAGCATATGTTTTGAATTCTTTTGAAATTCTTGGGTTATGTGATAGGTATTATTCACATTTCTAAGAACTAATCAATCAGTTTCCCAAAGTGTTTATACCTTTTTAAAAAAATTATTTATGTAACTTTATTTATCATTGTTATTATTTTCTAATTTGCTAAAGGGCATATGAAGTCACCAGAAAGATACAGAGAGAGAGAAAGTGAGAAAGCAAGCCACCAGGTCTGGGACTTGAACTGTGGTCAGCCATGTGGGAGTCTAGTGCACTTAACCTCCTTGCCTCTTGATGTCCCTTGTTCATATCTTTTTTTTTTTTTTTTTACCAATAATGAATGAGAATTCTGTTTGTTTCACATTCTTGACAACATTTGGTATTGTCAGTCTTTTTCATTTTGGCCATTCTAGAAGATATGCCATTGTATTGTATTTCCCTGTGATTAATGTTTTTGAGCTTCGTTTCATGTGTTCATTGGCCATTGACAGATCACGTTTTGTGATGAGCATGTTATTTTACTGTTGATATGAAAGTTCCTTATATATTTTGGATACAAGTGCTTGTCAAGTAGACACATTATAAATATTTTCTTTTAGTCTTTTTTTTGCCTTTTTATTTTCTTAATGGTATCTTTTTTTTGAAAAAAAAAAAAAAAGGCTTTTATTTCATGTAATGGGGAGGAAGCAGGTAGGTGTAACCATGACAGGGCCTTGTCACGTTGCAATCTCCTCCAGTCTCTGCCCCCACCAGTCTCCCAGCCAGCTGGATCACAGGCATGTGTGAGTGCATGTGACAGTTTTAAGTCCATCCATGACCTGAAGCCAGCCCTCCCATGAAGCTCCAGCATGATGCAATAGTACCCTGTCACCTATGCCATGGTGACATGACTGGTAGTGTCTTTTTTTACTCTTTCATCTGAGATAGAGAAGGAGAAAAGCACACCCCCAACAGGGTCTTCACACCACCGTCCATATCCAGCCTCGGCCAGCCTCGTTCATGGGCTTGCGTGTGCCTGCTGTGTACCGGGGAGCTGTGGGATATGAACCAGCAACCTTCCCATGCGTGACCAGGCCTGCAGAACGTTGTCACTACCATGCTATTGCTAGGCTCCTGGCCAGTAGTGGCTCTTGATGAGCAAAAATGTTAAATTTTGTAAAATTTATTTATTTTTATTTCATTTTCTTTTATAAATTTGATCACATTATTATTTGGCTTACAAAATGGATATTTCAACAGGTGAACATTTCTCCCTAGTACAGTTGATAAAACTACAAAATATCTTCAACAGATAATAATACCACATTTCTTTGTGCCATTAATGCTTTGCCTCCCTATTTTTCTTCTAAATGTCCTTCCTCAGACCCTCTTCTTTCACTCACACTATATCTGGTATTTACATCTGTGTTTCTATATGCTTTAGTCAATTAGTTTCAGTCACAGAGTATGGACACTTGGTATATACTAATTGGGGACATACAGTGCCTCTCTTTCATAGCCTGGCTTGCTTCACTCAGCAGTAAATCTTCCATATTCATCCACTTCCTGTCAAAAGCTAGGGTTCTGTTGTTTTTTTTTTTTTTTAGTGGCTGAATAGTATTCTATTGAGTATATGTGCCACAGTTTTTCTATCCATTCATCTGTTCGTGGGCATTCGGGTTGTTTCCATGACTTAGCAATTATGAATAGTGCCTGTTAAATATTTTTGAGGTCTACTTTCAGATTTTATTTTATAATTGTTGCTTTTCGAATCCCAAGAAATCTTTACTCCCATGGGATAAAGACATTTTACGTTTTCTTATAGAAGCTTTATAGCATTAATTTTACTTTTGTATCTGCGATACATCTAGAATTAATGTTTTGTAGGGTATGAGATAGAGGTTGAGGTTCTTTTTATAATATATTATTTTCCATTGGATTTTCTGTGTTTATAAAAAAAATGTATCAGTTCTAGATCTATTTGTAGTAGTTTATTCTTACACAACGGTCATTGTTAAAAGCAGAGGAAGTACAAACTTAAGTTTCTGCTTTTACATTCTATTTCTGACATCTTACCCACAAGGGATAGGCAGGAATGTCAAACAATTAGTACATATATTCATCATCACTACTGAAAATCACCCTGTGGAATACAATCACAGATTTGTTCGGGACCTTAGAAGTCATCTAATTCAACTTCTAACTCCTAATCTTAGCTTATTTAGCCTTTTTTCTCCAGCTTTACTTCCTAACTCTTGTGTCCCTGCTCTGCCTTTTAATCATAACTGAAAAGCACTTAGCATTTTTCCTGACAGCTTACCTAATTGTGGGCACTCAGTATTTTTTTCTCTACAGATATATCAAATGTCATTAAAAT